TCTGTGGTCTACGGTATCTGATAACTGCGTAGCTATTATATACTTTCCTGGTACGGTTACTAGTCTTGATTGGAAGAATACAAAAGCGGGTGACCTTTTATTAACGTGTGGTGATGATAAAGTTATTCGTTTGTGGCATGTAAAAAGAATAGATGACCAAACGTCGCAAGTCGTTTTACATTGGACTTCACGTCAAAATATGTTATGGATTTCTAAAGTATATATTCAAAACGTGAAAGGTTTGGATTTAATGAATATACGCCTTTTAAAGCAAAGAGGTGCCGCTGAAGACTCGAATGTTTAACAAAAACGACAAAGCTTAAGTCGAAATTATTAACAGTCTTATTGTGATACTCTAACTAGCGCTTTATTTGTATTATAGAATTTATTATAAATAAATGTATCCTAACTACGTCACGAACTCGCACAAGTTATCACATGATTTTACGATCGCCTCAGTTATAAAGCGCACATGACCACGTCTAGTACAGTACTGTAATTAGACGGATTAATGTATTATTATTGGATTACATCATAGGGTTTCGCAAAAACATTACGTCGATCACTTTCCTTCCCTCCCCGCTTTATTAACTTTGCCTCTTTATTTGCTTTTTATATCACCCTTTTATAAATGCAGCATGTTGTTTACGTTATTACCACAACGCCATTTAAATTTGGTTATAATGCTTACTCACTATATAGATAGATAACGAGAAAGCAAACGAGCAAATTTTCTACAGGCGGAAAATCGAGTATTTATTTGGGGGAGTTTTAAGCTTTAGGGGAGGGAAGGATATTTTATAGTAGCCAACCAAACAGTAAACTAATAAACCATGAAAACACATTATCTTAAATTATGATGGGTCTATCATAAAATGACATAATAACGATTAAACTGCTTATAGAAAGGGAAAAGGTTGCCCTTTTATATGATTTCGTTGGATCTGAAAACGCGTTAGTTCGTTTGGATATTAGAAACGTCTAATCACATTTTCTTGTGGCGATTGAGATCTGAATACTTACTTACTTTCTTTCAACCAAATTTTTTGATTTTTCTGCTAGAAACATAAGCTCCGATTTTTTTATTAGCCGCATTAACGAAATCACAAGTACAGTATATAGAATAATAAGTAATGTGACGAGTTTTTGTTAATATAATGGTTTTTCTCTTTTTGTATTGATACTAACTTATACACTGCTAACTCTAATCTTGTCCTACAAGCAAATCGATCAGAATTATCGTGTCGACACCATGAGACTTCTGGTGAACCAGAATCGTTATGGGGAAAATCAATTGAAAGATTTTGGTACCAGAACACAAAGGGACCCTGTAACATTTACAAACAAAAAGAAAAAGAGAAAAAAAAGATGAATGGTTCTTCTTATAGTGCCCTTTTTTTCTTTCAAGTTGTTTTCCCTTGATATTTTTATTAAATACAATTATATCTTTAGTACAAAAAAGCTTATGGATATTCTAATGTATTGGCGGCTACTGAATATTTTGATGGGTTGTTTTACAGATTACGGACAAAAGAGACTCGAAAGATATATGAATTAACTTTGGCATTCGTTCATCAAAACCTGTTCGATATAATTTGAAGTGTTACAGGTGATATCCTGAAAGTTCACCGTCATTCATGGCATAATCTGTTAATTTTTAATTAACTAGCTGCGCAAATTTATCGAGTGCAATGATACCATGACCATTTCAATATTTTTTTTCTTGTTAAAATAGATAATAAAGATGACGATGAAGGTATTTTGGAAGCATTAATAACAATGTATTATGCATTGATCAAGTTGGGGATAAAGAAGATGGAGTTTCGTTCAGACGAAGAAAAGAATGATTCCGAACTGCTGTAGGTCCTGATATTGCCATATCAAAGAAGGTCACTCACTCACTGGTGTATAAGCTTTACAAAAAATATTTCCATATGATATTGATGCTTTCTAGCTCTAACTTCTAATACAAATTACTATCCAGATCCACATATCGCTCGAGAAAAGACAGCAAATACTTTGATCAGACAGCAACCGCAAAAATGATAATGCCAAATCTGATCGATATATTGACAAGAAATAGGGAATTAGCTCTATGGTGTATGAGACTTACCAAAACCGGGACTGATAACGCTAGCGACAAATTATTGAACGTTAAATTTACGAGAAGAATTAGATAAACCAGTGCTAGCACATCTAAAGTATAATTCTGTGTAACTGAAATCTGAGAAGATGAGGTCTGATATAAAAAGATTTAATTTTTTGAGCTTCGGGGTTTTTTTTTCGGGTTTCAATATTTTTTTTTTAGGCTTTGGGGGTTTTTTTTTATCAGGATTCGGGGTTTTTTCTTCGTTTTTTTTTTCAGGATTCGGATTTTTTTGCTTTTTTTTCTTGCTTTGGGGGTTTTTTTTCAATTTTTTTTTTCAGAATTCGGGTCTTTTTTTGATTTTGGTGTTTCTTTTTTTTTTTTTAGTCGGATTTTATTTTATTTGATAAGTTGTCATTAATTAATAAAAATAAATAGTTGATATAAATTAATTTATTTTAAGCTTAATTTTGGTTTTTTTCCGTTTTAATGTTAAATAGAAGTTTTATTTGAATCTAAAATAATAGTTTGATTTTAATTAATTGAATAGTTTGATTTAAATATAAAGCTTTACTTAAAACAATTATATTTCTTAATTGATTTGTTATAAAATTTTTATTAAATATAAATAAAATTATATCATTTAATTTAATAATTTATATAAGAAAAACTCTTCCCAACAATCAATTTTTCACTTAAAAATTTCCTTATTTGGTAACAAACATTCTCAAGAAACTTTTCATCCCCAAGCACTTCCAAGTGTTTCCAACCAATAACTAACTCCTAATAATGAAGCATTCATCAACAAATAGCAACAAAAAAATAATTTCTACATGCCACTATTCATCAGGACTTGAACCAGCTCTTCCAAATTTATTATCTTGACCTTGACAACAATACAATCATCTGAACAGAATTTGCAAGAACCCTCCTCATTACCAACCTTTCAAACTTCCCTAATCAATTTCTCATCATCAAAGAAGAGAAAGACATCAAAGAAATTGTCAAAACAAATTCCATTAATAATGTTTGCATCATTAACTTCACAACAGAAATTATTAAAAAAAAGATCAAAAAAGACTTTCCCAAATCCATATAACACTATCCAACCAAAGAAACATCTTCCTCAACTTTCAATACATTAGCAACATAATAAAAAAATGAAAAAAAAAACCAACTCAACACAGAACTCTATAACTGTTTACAAGAATTTATCTTTCTCTCTCAAGAAACAACAAAAAATCCTAATCAACTTACTCTAAAAATGATTCTTTATCTATCACTTCTCTTGTCTTTCAAAAAAGAAATGTTAATCAAATAGTCACAATGTATACATATGCAAACCTTTTGTCTATCACCTCAATCTTTACTCAATCCAGCAATCTTACAAAAACTAGTGAAACAGTTAATGAACCAATGAAACTCTCTAATTTGGATCCTCTCCCTACCAACTCTACACAATCAAACATATCTCACCTCCAACAAATAATCAGCTCTCTCAATAAATCTTTTACCATTTCAAGCTTCATAATGTTATGGGTAAAAGTAGGCACAGTAACGTGACACACCATCGTGTCATGTAATTAGTGCGTTATAAGATCAATGGTGAGAAAAATTAGAGGTGGATAAATTAAGGTATAGGAAAGATTATTGGTAGAAATTTCTAAAGTAGTGTCGAATAGTGATCAGATATAAACATGTAAACAACAGGCGCATATATAAATACATGCGCCATTCATTAGCATATAAAAGGGAAGATAAGAGTTGAGAGTCAATAACGCATTAAGTAATAAACAATAAAGTAACATTTAACAAATAAACTCTTACCTTGTGTTTAGTGTGCCAAAGAAGACTTGTAACTTGGGCTATGTGACTACAAGAGAGAACCAAGGATTGCCTAAGGGAATTGGCATTGAAAGGGTTCTAGGCTAGTCGGTAGAAAAGTTAAAGTGAGAGAACGGCCAAATCGGAAACACACCTCAAGAGTTAGAAACTTATTTTATTATGAACAGAATAGTGTGAGCTGGACGGAGAGCCCATGAAATTTGGTGGTTAACCATGAGATTCGGATATTAACAAACTGAGAATGACATTCATTTATCCCCCCTTTGATAAATTAATTAAATACTATATTAGTAAAAATATTGATCATATTAACAAACAAACCTTAAAAACACACTTACTTTCCTGTCGAACTCATGATAAACCCGTGTTAATTTTGATTAATAATGTTAGACGATGCAATCAAAATCTTACAAGAACTAGTGGAAGCCCTTATCAGCCTGGAAAGAAATAGAGAGATTTGACAGACCAGTGCATTTAAATTTGAGGGAAAAAGGGAAAAAGATTCATATACGTAGTTAGAGTCATATGAGAGGGTAGCAGAAACCAACAGTTAGATGAATGCACAAAAACTTAGATGTGTAACGAATTACCTTGAGAGATGTGCGGTAGACTGGTACGAAGTTTGCCAGAATCACCTTGAGCACTGAAATCATAGGAGCGACTGTAAAGGAAGCTTTGTACCAGCATTCCTCTGATGCTTGAGCAACGACATCAATGGCAGTCAGAGCTCACAAATCTAAAGCAAAGAAAGGATGAGAAAGTTGCAACGTATATCTGACGATTTCGAGACTTGCTGAGAAGGACCGACCTTGACAATGACACTTCTGAAAGAAGCAAAGTTAAAGCGTTCAAAAAAGGATTGAGAAGAGAGGTTGCGGCAAGACTTACCACTAGAAGTGATGTTATGTTAGACGAAGTAATCGAGGAAATGAAACAAATGCGAGGAGATGAAACAAATGGAAGGAAATGAGAAATACAGGAAGACAATTGGAAGGAGAAATCTAGAAAAACAAAGGAATTAGAAAATGAGGAATACAGGAGATACAATTGGAAAGAGGAATCTAGAAAAATGAAGGGATTAGAGTATGAGATTAGAGAACTAAATAAACAATTCCGAGAACTGAGGAAGAGCTACAGCAAACCTGTGGTCTTTGCTGGAAAAATCGTGGATGAACCGGAAGTGCCGACGACGGAAAATGCCCTACGAAGAAGCAAGGAAAAGGTAATAGAAGGACATATGAAGAAGATGATGAAGGAGAAATGGGATGAGTCATCAAAGACGATATTGGTAAAAGGACGAAATGACATCTTAGTAATGGAGATGAACAAAGAGGAATCGCAACTGGATGACGAAAACTCCACTGCATACCTATCTCGGAGAAGGAAACAGCAAGATTCACTTGAAGAACTAAGACTGGCGAAACAGGATTCTGTAAAAAACACGGACACTTACTTACCTGACGAAAACGAGTGGATAAAAATCTGGAACTTTGATGATAAACAGCAACAAAGCACCCGGGCCTCGAGACGTACCTGTATCAAACAAAAAAAGAATGAGAGGATATCACATTAATAGAGAGACCACCGAAGGGAGAACCAACAATGTCACCTAGTGAGAACCACGGAAACAAGAGAATCGATGTTGGGGATGAGCTAAACGCAGAATCTGCTAATGAGGATGACGAACCAGGATACGGTAAAGGAATCCAAACCTCAGGTATTGACAAAAATGCCATCACA